CCACCACTGGACTGCGATCACCAGTTCTGGCCAGACTGCAGCAGCTCTCCCACCAGCAGGTTCTTCCCCTCTCCCTTTACTTTGGACTCAAGCGGGGCCCAAGGAACACCACTTTGTTCATGCTCCAGGGCACTGGGTTATACATTTGGGTTTTTTGTGGGTTGAGACCAATTGTTTGTTTGTATTATTGTACTTACTGTATTATTTTAATAAATTGTTATTCTGATTTATAATCTCTCCTTTGAGTTGAGTTCATTCCCCCTGCTGGTTAACTCTTAAACCAGCACACAGAGACATTTCATATCATTTGTATTGAACTAGTGTTGGTTTTCCTTTTAATAATCCACCATTGTCATACCATTGATATTGATCCGTCTGCCTCCATACCTTTAGATGGAGTGGGCCTTCCACCACGTCACTACAGCCACAGAAAAGCCCTCTGGGAACGTCTGAGAGGCTCAATTTCTCTTCTACCTAATTTCTGCTTGTTTGAAAACATAGGAGGGCATAGTTCATTTTTCACCTGGAAATTTATGAAAAAGACCAAACATACATTTTTCTAAATTAATTTTTTTGACTGGTAGAGGGGAATCTGAGATTCAGTGGTACTGAATCCCATAGGAGTGAACTAGGTCACTCTCCAACATATCCTTGTCCTCCTTATGTAGAGGTTGCCTATAATCCTAATAGTAGTTGTTACCTAGCATCAAAACATGAGGAGGAAAAAAAGAAAATAAGAAAACAGGAAAGAAAATAAAGGCTTTGTTCTGTTTTATTTAGCCTCCTGCATGTAGTTCTAGCATTTACATAAGTCTTTTTGCACTTTTTAAGGCATTTACGTCAGAGAATTAGAAACAGAATATCTCTATTTTTGTTATTACTTGATTTATTTTATAGCAAACATTCCAGTTGCTTTCTCTCTGTGCTCAGAAACAGCTCAGAGAGTAGAAATGTTCTCTGTGAAATCTGATAATGCCAATTTAATCAGGATCTCATTAAAACAAACAAATTCAAGAGTTTAATCATCACTTAAAAGTGATGCTTTCCTTTAAAAACAGTGACAATGGGTTTCTGAGTTCAGTCTTCTGCTTATTCCTTAATCTATAAAAGTATTCCTACTTTCTTAACTTCAATCTTACAATATGTCTGATTGGTTTTTCCCATCTTTTTACGTCATGCAGGTCTTTCAAATGTGTCTAAGATAAGAATCTTTCTTTTTTAGCTTGTCTGAAGACAAGTTGACAAATAACATAAGCATTCCAGAACATTCTTTATGTCCTCTGTGTAGTTGGTAATAATAAAGTGATATCTCTGCCTCAGAGGACCTGGTAGTTCTTCTGCTCTGGTCTTCTAACTGTCCATCATTGATTTAGGCTTCCCTTTACAAGAACCACTCTTCAGTGATGCTGAGTGAAGCATGACCTCATCAGACCAGCCCCACGGATTTACTATATAAAATGCCTAGAATGCCAAGAACTCCAGATGCATTTCAATACCAAGTACAGCAGCTTTTTCAGTATGTATTTATTAGCTTAAATTAATACAATACATCATACATGCTTTTACTATTGAGATAGAAAGCCAGAACCTAAATATTCACATATAGTTGGTTCACTTTTTGAGTTGTGGCTTTAAATAGGAACTCAATGTTCTATGTGAAATAAATATGCAACACATTATTTGCAAAATCTGTTAGGAGCACAAAATGTTAGCTCTGTTACATCTTGTTCAGCTAAGCAGACATGACTTATTTTCAAAACTGTTAATAATTATTAAAAACTTCTTGGAATAATAAATACAGTACTTATATTACTTCTTAACTGTACACTCAAAACAGCAGAATCCAGCAGCACCATATAAAGAGAGATATCAAAGAATAGGTAGTAGAGAATCACAGAGTTGTAAAAGGGTGGGTGCAATAGCATTACCTGGTCTTTCTGGTAACTTGTTTTAGAAGAAACAGCACAGCATAAACATCAGTTATAATACTATCATGAAGTGTTTTACGCTTTGAGCCTCTGAATACAGAGCACCTGTCTGGCAGCCAGGAAAACTCTGATTCACAAGGAGATGACTGAGTCCTAGTGGCTAGAATCAAAGCATCTTATTCCGGGGTCACCTATAACTTCTCTTTCCACATAAATACATTGTCTATCTTCATCCTTAATTTTTAGTAACTCAGCTTTTAGCTTTTCCTCCACCTACTCTGTACTCTAAAGTGTCTTGCAGAATTCTCCTTGCTACCCTTAACATCAGAAAAACCTCTAATTTAACAAACCACCTGCCTTCACTTGCCCAGACTCATTATGATAGGGCCAATTTACTTTTCCTCAGCATGACTTCTTGAAGCATCTTGGCTGCATGAGTTTGTGGCCCCTCTTATTTGCTGTTATGCTCTCCAAGAGGATGGAGCTACACTTCATCTAACAATGCAGGGAAATGGTATGTATGTAATTTTACATAGAGATGTTAGAGGCTGGGCTTTAGTTTCATGTGTTACCACACACTGAAGACCCAAATACAGAGAACAGTAAGATAAATATTTTTTTTTTCTCACAACATAGCAAGAAGGTAGATAAACTCAGAAATCAGAAAAAGAAGAAAATATATCCCCCAAGGTCCAGGACACAGGTAATGTCTCTACTGGACTTCTGAGCCTCTATACAAGGCAAAATAAGGAAGCTAATCCCTTGAAAAACAGAAATGGGAAATAGCTTCATTATGAGAGCAAATTTCTCTAAAGCGTTTTCAAAGCTATTATAAAGCAAAGGCTGTTACTGTCTGTTCCTAAAGTGATGCCAATGTAAATAGCATGAAAATAACTCATGTTTGAAAAGCAAGGTGCTTCACAATGAAGGCTGTTATTTCACTTTTAATTTGTCCCTTGGGACCTCTTTGTAACAAGTGTCTTAGACCCATTTGCATTATGTTCCACAGAGAGATGACTGTCATCTAATCGCTTTGCTTGGGTCACTTGGCACTGTCTCCTTATTTCAGTAATAGTTCTGTTTGCAACTCCTCTTATGGTAACTTACAGTTTTAGATTAATTCTTTACTATTGTAGCATGAATTACACTTGGGTGTTTGTGAATTAGCTTAGTGTGACTTCATGACTGGGCAGAATATCAGGATCTCATTGTAATGGAATACTCTCTGCTTTCTAGGAAAAATGCAAAAAAAGGGACTCCCATTACGAATTATTTGCAAATAGTATGTGGTTGTCAGATGTTTCTGCTCCAGTGAGAAGTGCATTTGTAGAAGAGGGTAAATTGACTGCAGTGACAGTGTGGTTGAAAGAATTCAAGTTAACCATTTAGAAAACCAGAGTGGTTTGCAGTGATTTCCTTTCCCAAGGACACAACTGGCACATTCTCTTACAACATGTGTAAGGGAACTCTGGACTGCGTGCTTTCAGTAAACATAATTCTTGTGGTTATAGAATCACAGCGTCACAGAAGCATTTATGTTGGAAAATACCTCAGATTATTGAGTCCAACCTTTCACTGAAGACCAGCAGGTCAACTAGACTGTAACACTAAGTGCCACACAGTCATTTCTGGAACATTTCTCAAACATTTCCAGGGATGCTGCCTGGCTCATTGCCCTTCTCTGGACTTGCTCCAGCACCTCAATGTCTTTCTTTGAGTGAGGGGCCCAAAACAATACAGGATTTGAAGTAGGGCCTCACCAATGTTGAGGACAGAGGAACAATCACTGCCCTGGTTCTGCTGGCCACACTGTTGCTGATACAGGCCAAGATGCCACTGGCCTTCTCGGCCACCTGGGCACACTGCCGGATAGTGTTCAGCCTCTGTCAACGAGCACCCCCAGGTCCTTTTCTGCTGGGCAGTTTTCCAGTCATTCTGTCCCCAGCCTGTAACATTGCCGGTGGTTGTTGTGACCCAAGTGCAGGGCTTGGCACTTGGTCTTTTTGCATCTCATTCCACTAGCCTTGTCCCACTGATCCTGCCCATCCAGGTTGCTCTGCAGATCCTTCCTACTATCCAGCAGACGAACACTCCTACACAGCTTAGTGTCATGTACAAATGTACTGAGGGTGCACACGAGCCCCTCATCCAGATCATCAGTAAGATATTAAACACATCCAGATCATCAATAAGATATTAAACAGGGCTGCCCCCCAGTACTCTGGGGAGTACTGTGTTCCACTGGTGACCGGCTGCCAGCTGGATGTAACTCCATTCACCACCACTCTCGGGGCTCAGCCATCCAGCCAGTTTTTAACCTAGCAAAGAGTGCACCTATCCAAGCTGTGGGCTGCCAGCTTCTCCAGGAGAGTGCCATGGGAGTCAGTATCAAAGACTTTGCTAAAGTCCAGGTAGATAACATCCTATGATATTAGCTTCTGTGAGCTGAAATCTGCTGAAAATTTCTCCTTTGTTCCATTTGCCTGGACTGCTGTTGATACGAAATCGTTTGTTTCTTTCTTTCTTGGTAAGGATTGGTTAGCTGTCCCATAGCACTCTCCAATGAATAGACAACAAGGCTTTGCAATGGAAGGACTGAATGCTTTCCTGCTTTACCCACCACAGAAGTGAAGGACTTGTTAAGTTCTACCCATCTGCATGATTACCATTCTAGAAATTGCAAAGAGATTTCTGATTTCCTGCTTGTTCTTCCCATCAGGAGAGCTAATATGGCTGCAAAAGTGGAGTGGACTGATCTGGAATCATGCATAGCTGGAAACTACACCACTGAGACAGAGACAATTCTAAGACTCAGTGACTCCCAGCTTTTGGCTGTATACATTCTCAAATGGGAGCTTTTGTCTGACAGAGACAAGATAGTGACAAGAAGGTAACCGAAGGAGTTGTTCCCATTTCTAAGGGACCATCTCCTAGACTGTGTTGAATTTTTGCTGGATCACTTCCCCATAGTCTAAGAAAGAATGCAGTTACACTCATTATTCTGAATTTTTTTCAGAATAATGAAAAAAATTTTTTCAGTTTCTTCTGCGTGACCACAATGTCTTCCTTGAAAGAAGGATGGCTCCTTTTTCAAGAGGTGTCATCTCAGCGGCAAGGAAGAGTGTGTAAGGTAAAACAGTTCATTCCTGAAAATCATGGCTATTTATAACTGAAATACACTCAGTTTTCAAAGTCTTCTTTAATTCTATGTTTAAACTGACCTACATTCCACATCAGTTTGGCATACCCTTTATATTTTAAAATGTATGCACATCAGTTTTAATTATGTAAGTTAACTACATTTAGAAGAGTCACCTGTATGTTACAGTTTCTTTTATCAACAGCTTTTTCTGCTCTTCATTCAGAATATTTATTATGCCATGTTTGAGCCTTGGAAAGTGAAACCACCTTCTCCAACCTTGGACTACACAAATCCAGTTTTATTTGAGGAATAAAGACTTCTGCACTGTGAATGCTGATTAACTGGTAGGCGTGAGAATCATTAGTTTGAAAGGTATTTGTTTTCTTATAGTGGCAGAGAGCTGCAGCTACTTGACTATAGTCTTAGCGAAACATAAGTATATGACTATATTTAATTACAACTTGCTATATGTTGAACATTATAGCAATGTATTTCAAATCAAGAACTTGGCAGGTAAGTGAAGAAGGCAGTAGTATTTGGAAGAGAATTTTAACCTTTTAAGCTGGGATGTGGGAGGGACATAAGACAAATTTTATGATTTCTTAAATTTTTATTTCTTTATAAGGAAGAGCATGATGCAAGGCTGTTTGTTTTCTATCTTGAAGATGCAGAAATTAATATGATGGCTGAACTACTCATGCAAATAATGAAAAGTTGAACGGAATATGCTTTAAGCATCTTTGTTGTGAATGTGTAATTGTATGGGAATCAGAGGATGCAAAGCTGGGTGTGACAGTAAAAACAGTGTAAGTGAATTCTTCTGAAAGGCCTGGACCCTCCTCAAGACACATTGATAAGGGAAAATTTCTGCCTCCAATAAGAGGAAATCGAAAATCAGTTTTACTCTGTGAGGTACTGCTTGTCCTATAGGGGTTATTTTTACCTTCTAAAATAAAAATTGTGTATTTCAAAATTATCCTTCCTAGTCATGAAAAAATGAAGAGATAAATGGTAAAACTGCATATTTTTTTCAGTGCAATTACTCATATTTCTTTATATGTAATTATAGCAAGATTGTGAATGCTGTATGCTGCTGCTGCCCATTAGATATATTGGTCTGAGCAGGCAGTAGAATGAAATGTCAACACAGTCTATGCTATTTCACTTGAAGAATTACTGAATACTCTCATACTGACTGAAACAAAACAGGAACATTCCTTGTACTAGAGGAAGAGCTTTTGTAATAAATTCCAGTCCTTTCAAAGCCTTACAGAGTTGCCCTTCACTGCCTCCCAAGACATTAGTATTTCTTCTTAATTTCTTTCCCAGTTCTCACTATAAGTGATTGAATTAAGAGTCACTTCAGTAAATCAAAGTATTTGGACTGTGTTAGTTCTGAATGTTGACAGCATTTTCATGCGTGTCACATTTAATAGTACTCTGGCTTATAATGTGAAATATTTAGTATTTTCAACTGTTTCTGAGACATATGGCTAGAAGTGTTCATATTTATCTAGTCAGACAATAAATCAGATGCTAAAGTATGTTGCTTTCTGCTAATTAGAAAATTGCATGTAAGTATCTATCCCCATATAATAGAAAATAAACTTCTGTACCTAACCCATTGTTTGCTTTTACATCAAATGGATAAATATAAAAGTGTTATTGTTCAATATCTATTGCATTTCTCAGTGGCTTTTAATGTATGTGTTTTACACTAAATTATTTTTATCTATTTGGCTTGTTTATTTCTAAAGAATACTACAGACTTCAGGTCTTGGTAAACTACAGTTCATGTTAAAAACTCTCTGGTTCCCATTTTCCAGCTATTTCAAAGTGTCCATTTTACATGCCTATAAGCATTGTTTGTTTTTCCATTTTTCTTTCCAGCAATTCTTTCAAACTCTTGTTCCTGTGCTTGAAATACAAGTAATCAGAGAAAGAGTGGCCAATTCTGGCCTTTTCAAAGGATCTAAAGCTGAGACGTTCTTTGTTGTTTGCAAGCTCTCCTTCTCTTTGGCTCTCCTCTTTGTCCGAATTTCCTATTCTCTTCCTCAGTCCTCCCTCACTTAGCACTTCTTCCTTCTCATTGCAGGAGGACTCTCTGAAGTCCTTCATCATGGACTCGGGTTTGCCAGAGAGATCTTGAGCCACACATAGCTTGTCATCATGATGATACATGACAGGGCTGTACCGCTCTGCCTCATAGCAGTTGTCTTCCTCTTCTTCCTGGCATGAGCTCCCCTTGGCACTCTCGCCATCAGAATGAAATGAGATTCCCTTCCCTTGGCTTTTCTGGGAAAGATCAAAGGGCTCTTCCTGTTCCAAACTTTTCAAGACTTTTGTCTGCGACAGAGCAATTCTTCCTCTTCCAAAACCTTGCAGCAGTTTGAGGGGAGGAGAAGAGGAAAAATTTATATATCGGAAATTTTAGTACTTGATACATGGCTAAAAAACAGATTCTGAGGTGGCCTTCTAGTTCATACTTTACCTTTGTCTTCCATCCAGCTACCTCCAAGTACTTCACTATTTGCATCTCATGGCATCTCCTTTGAGATGCTGCAAAAAGGAGTGCTATTCTATACACTTCCCAGACAGGTCAGGACACACAAAACATTGTGTTATACATGCCAGACTCTTGATGAGGCAGCTAGAAAAAAAGTGAAATGGTCTGTCCTTTTATAAGCTAATTTTTACCAGTGAACCTATCCACTTCCTCCTTCCTATTCTTTTTTAAATGAAAACTTTGATCTAAAGCATCACAGTCCATAATCCAAGTTCAGGTTTTATATATTATTTTTCCATAGGAGTGGAAGATACTGAAATTGTGTTAATGTAGTTGTTCTCTGGACACTCCAATTCAAAGTTAATACTTTATAATGAAAAGACAATAAAGTCTCAGCAGTCTATGACCTCCACTCTCCTAAATTTTTCCTTTCATCCACTGAGAAACCAATCAACTGAAAAGCTCTATGCACTAGATAGTGCTTCAGCTTGAGGAAATCATTATAAACAAATAATGATTTCGAGCAGTATAGTGTAAATCTGCATGTACTCCTGGATCTGATTTGCCTTAATATTTGTCAGAGTGTCTTTCCTCTTACTGGAAATATAGATGTTACCCAGGAGGCAACTGTGTACTCTAATATGCTGCAAGGACCAGGAGGCACTGAAGAAGATCTGGATACTGTAGGCATAGACCATTTTCATTAAAGACTAGTGACAGTACTGGGGCGAGGATTTCACCCCATAGTAAATATATACAGAAGTCAGTACTTGCTTTTGTTTGCTTTGTTGTTTTTTTTTCCCTCAGTAATTGAATCCAGTTTCTGAAGAATCTATGCAATCTCACAAGATAACAGATGCTACTTTGCAACAGACTGTATTTGTTAAAATGGTTCATAAGCAAGTGGCAGGCCTTACAAATTATCTTGTGTCTGATAAGCCTCAAGGGATGCAGAATCCCTCTACAATGAAAAGCTCTTAGCGATCTCCAATTCCAAGTAATTGTCTAACTAGCATGGTGCTGGAGGAGGCTAACAGAAAAAACACACTTATTTCATTACCCATTAAGATGTTTGTACATTTTATATCAAATGTCATTAGAGTAATGTAGTGTAATTAGAGTGTTCTACATATGTGCTGGACTGTCTTAACGCTTGAATTTGAGGAACACTAAGAAATCTTCCCCATTAAAGAATTATTTATGCAAAAAATCTTAAAAAAACATATCTTGGAAAATCAAACTCTCAAAACAATCTTCCTTAATTCCTCCACTTCTTTAGTTAGCATTGACATGTGTGCATACATAAGGATAACTTTTGGAATGGTACATGGCAGATGGTAGACAGGAAATGCTTTGCAGGATACCCTGGGTAGTCAAAAATCCTTGTACTTTGAAATGGGGCAGTAGTATCTCCTGTTCATGTACTCCTTTGTAAATTGGGTCTTGAGCCTATGGCCTTCACCTGACATCAGCTATGCCAATACAGTACAGAATAACCAAGGCTCTTGGATGTAGAAACACTCAGCCTTCCATACGCATTCCAGACTGGAATCCAATATGCAGTAAGCAAGACCCATAAATGTTCTAGATTTTCTGCTTCTGTCAATTTAGGATTAATTTATGATTTATTGGGAATCTCTGATCTGTAACGTTGTAGTAATATAGTTAATAGCAACTTCTCAGGCTTATGGGATTCTATCACTGGCAGTAGCATAGGATCCATGGTACAAGTTCGTGGATCCGTAGTACAAAGCTCATTTGGGTTCACTGATATGCATCTTCAGATCTCACAGAAAACAACCTTTCTGAAAAATATTACCTTGTGAATGAAATCCTCTTTCCATGACCCCGTGTTTGACTTTCATGTGTCTGGTTAGGTTCCCCTTCAAGGTGAATTTGCTGGGACAGTAGAGGCACTTGAAAGGCTTACTATCAGAATGCAAGTGCATGTGTCCCATTAAATTGTGCATTCTGTTAAATTCCTTTCCACACAGCTGTAAAAACAGTAAAAATGAAAATTATTAGTTTGAATCAGTATTTACTAGGAGAACATTTTAAAAGTAAGTAAGACCTACACTTTTCTACTTTAGCCTTGGCAGCTTTTGGCTGCAATGTGTTTTTCAAAGTTCCAGGCAATAATCCTACAGACAAAAATATGTGTTTGAGTATCTAGAGCCCTCTGCACTGCTGGCTTTTTTTTAATTTGGTGACCAAGACACATAGTCAAGGATTCCCCAAAAGCAGGCAATGTTGTTGTAAGGAGGGGAGAGACTTAAGTGAGTAATCTGGTAGGCTCTTAATTTGAATGACATTCAAAGTATAACTTTCTGCCCTGGCAAAGCATTTAATTTGTAGTTTATAAATCTAGCCTTTAATCAAGAACAATGTCAGGCAGAGATGGAGATAAAAAATAAAACCAATTAAGGGTTTCTGTGACACAGTCAAACAGAATATTACTTCTCCTTAAGTGGAAATTAAACAGCTGCATATTTTGCTTAAAGCTAGAAAAAGCAATTCCTTATTTTAGTTTGTTTCTTGCTCACCCTTTTTTCTCTGATCCCTTTATCATTTTTTTATCAAATTCTGTGTTTTGATGTCTCTGGTGAGTAAGCTGGAACGTAAACAGTCATGAGGCTGCAAGAATGACTCAGCTTTCCCTGAAGCATGTTCCTGCCAGCTCAAGCCATTGATCCTGCAATTTTTCCTTTGATGGAACAATAAGGGTCGGGTTTTTTCATTGTTGTTGTTTATCTAGATGAGTCCTTTTGTAGTCTGGATTCTTATAAAACAAATGTATTCTCAAGACATGAGAGTTTGACATCACTATTACAAGTATCTAGTCTTACTTGCCTTCTGGTCTTTCCTTATCAGGATTTATAGTTTTATTCATGTTCAAGTGGCTATTTCCATCCTCTGCAAACTTCTGTATGTGCTTTCTACTTCAGCTCCTTTTTTTTTTTTTTTGACTGGTTCTACCATCAGATTTTAATTTTTTAAAATGATCTTTATTTCTATATGAGCCAGAATCACCATTACTGAGTAACTGAAACTTCCATCTAGCAGGGTAATCATCTGGCAGAAAATTACTAAAAAGAAATTACTAATATTCCACCACATTTTTTGTATAATGGGAATTCTGATTTTATTTGTTTTGATATTGTAGAAGATCTGATATGCTACTTGTAGATTCATATTCAGAAAGTCATCACCTGGAACACCTGGATGAAATGTAGATAGTGGGATTATCATTGGTGAAACAGTACTATGTGTTTTGCATTTTACACTGTCTCTTGAGGGAAAATTGAATCAGTTCATTTATACCAAAACTTTGCAGGTGTACTGTTTCACAATTAAAATTAGAGCTGAGCCAGTGCTGCAAAAACAAAGACTCTGGAAATATTCACTTGTTTTTAAAACAAGTATTTGCTTCAGCTGCATATGTTTTCTTCCATGATTTTCTCTCTGTAATTTTGCTAAAATGAACATTCTAGCAAATAAATTTATCAGCAAGACAGTAGGAGGGGGAAAAAAAGCCACTGGAAATGAATTATTAATTTTTAAAATAAGGATATCTGGTCCCAAGGGTCATCCATCCATTTAGGAAAGAGTATTATCTCTTCTTTGCATTCAAACAAAGACAATATGCAGGATTGCTTATATTCAGAGAAATGAATGCACCAAAAAAATACTCTGAAAGTGCTGAGGGGAAAAAAAAGAGGAAAAGTACTGATGAGCCCAGAAAATTCGCAAGGAATAACAGCAGCTGATTGTATCCTGACAGCTGCTGGAACAACCTATAATATGTCAATATTACTCTTGCTACAAGAATGCCAGTAATAATAGCTTTCTAATACCTCTTACATGAAGGCTTCTGGTTATCTGCTTATGTTGTGGCTGACCTATATTGTCACCAGATCTTGCTTTCCTATAGCTGGGTCTTTATTTCTCTATCTAAACTGGTGGCCAAGGAAAACCAAGTTGAATAGGCGAGTGGCTAGAATACTTCATGCAAATCCATATATTTATAGGTTCTTGAGTATTAAAACTGATCTAGTAAGAGCACTTATTTTCTTCTGTGAAGTTAATATTTATTTCTCTTTCTTCATAAAGAAAAGAAAAGGGACTTCATAAAGGATAGTTCTTTACAGTATAAAAGTTCTTTGTCTCTGAATAAAGTTGACAGATTTTTCCATTTCCCAAAGTCAGGTGTATCTTAGGGCTGTGTAATGTGTTCTTGCCATGAAATCTTCTCTGGATACATGAGGAAATGGCACTAGAAGAGAGAGGTGTGGCAGGAAAATTAAAGAATTGCAGATATTAAAATTGTGTTTCAGAATGATGTTTCTGTGTGTCCTGGTCTTTGTTTAACTACTCCTTTCCAAAAGGCGCAAGACACCTTTTGGGTGAATGATCCAGAGGGTAAAGGAAGCAGATTTTTGGTCACATGCTGGAAGACTGCAACTCAAAGCTGGTTGGGGTACACAGCTAATGCTTAATGAACAGGTTGAGTCTGCATATCAAACTAGAAGGTTGTACAAGATTTCCTTTCTCTGCGGCATGACAGGAGATGATGCAGTTTTATGCAAAAGAACTTGGGATGTCGGGAACTTGTAGATTTTTTGTTGGGCTGTCTACTCTAGACAAGATAAAATTAAAGCCTTGAAGAAACAGACCTCAGCTGCAAGTCTGCTGAACACACTTTGTTGCACTCACTGATGAAATGGACTTCCGTACAGTTTGCTAGAAGAATCCTGCATTAGTTCAACGGTAGATTTTGTCTTCCTAAGATACCACATGAAGTATCACACTTCTAGATTTGTCAGCCTGTTTTGTTTCTTCTCAAAACACTTCTCTCTCACATTTTCTTTGGTTTTGAACTCCTGATTAAAACACATGATTTTAGATGGGAAAAAAGTAGAGTTCAAAACGTCCACTGCGAAGTGTATTTGGCTGGGCTGGAAAAAAATCCATTGCATTCTTTATTGGAGGTCTGAAGCACTGATTACTCTAGCACTAAAAACAACAGTAAATTTCATGGAACCTTCCTCTACAAGTCAGAATTAGCACTGTTGCAACGGTTGGTGTAACACCTTCATAACTCTTCAGTCTTTTTTTTTTCTTTAACAGAAATAAACACGGCAACATGGGCTCAGGACTTTAAATGTTACAGAGAAGTTCACTCTTCAAAGAGAAATCAAACACAGATGAAGGCTGCAGCTGGATGAGGAAACAGAAGGGACAACTATTTGCTACTCCCTCACTTCTGATAGTCTGTGCTTAGCTGTGATTAGACTCATAGGAAAGCTCGTGTTTTCTTTTGCTGTGAGAAAAAGGTAAAGAAAACCATTGCATGTGGTGAAATAGAAAGGCTACTGCTGTGCTCTCTTTCCTTTGCATTCTTCTTCTTTTTTTTTTTTTCTTCATAAGAAGGGTGTTCCTTTCCTCAAAGAGAGAGGGAGAGGGAGAATGACTGTAAACTGTCCAAAAGGACCGTGAGAAAACAGGAAGCTTTGAAAAGTACAAGAGAAAGCAAGATGAAATCTATTTGCAGGCGGTTCCCCGGGGACATGTGAGCCATTGTTAAGCAGGCTGTTCATACAGCTATATCCTTCCTTCTGCTGAGGAGGAGCTTGGTGCCAAAAGGCTGCTATCTGGTCACTGCCTTAACCCTCCAAGTACCAACCAGAAATATTTGCTTTCAAGAGTGTTTTGAGGGCTCTGTCAGAGAGGCAATGTCAGGATGTTCCTAATGACCAAGAGCAATTCCTGATTCTGCCTTTGCTTGTTGCTGCAATCTCCACTCTCAGGGGCACTGATGTTGATTCATACCCCTTCAGCCACAAGAGAAACAGGTTCACTGTGCTTACTTGTTTCTTTCCTCCTAGGAACACTGGGTGGGGACAGAAAAGTGAAAAAATAAGAAAAACAGGTGTTCCTGTAGAGCTTTTGTTACTGGCTGGGAAACATTCTAGTGATACTCCATTTCCCAGTTCCAGTTATTGCCATCTCCAAGTTTTAGTAGTCTACCATCGTCAAACACTAAGCTGAACACAACCTTCCAGCTAATCTGCACGTACCTAAAAAATGGTATGGGTCCACATACTGCACCCACGACAGCTGATCAAACAATTGAGTTTCTTTTCTGAAATTTGAGGAGTCAGAAGAGGACTTTGACCACATGGGAACAAAAAGGCAGGTTTCCAGATGTTTTCAAAGAACAAAAATCTCCAGCAGACTTGACATGAAACTCCCCAAACTTTTCAGTAAAAATTTTTTTTTATCAATATAGAATAATGTAAGCCCAAGTATACAAAATAGCATTTTAATAGGACATAAATTAGGAAAAAACAAAACACCAAAGTTAGAAACCTTTGCTGCTATTTTTTCAAAATAAAATGACAAAGCAAAATGAAGTCAGAAAGATTTTCTTTTAGATTTTCTTATTAAAATTAGTACCGAATGTTTTGTATTCCTATGGCATTTTAAAGTTCTATGGTTTTTGAAGTGAAATCATTCCTTTTAAAATTTTTCATACATCTCTGTTTCTTGATGAAATGTTCCTTTTAAGAAAATATTCAATTCCATAAAGATGTAGGATGAAAGAGTTTTAGAAATTGCTTTCAAATCAGTCTTATATATAAATTGAGTAATATGTTCCACTCTGTATTTGCTATTTATTAGAGCAAATTAGATTGGGAATAAAATCTACAACCTTTGACTTCACAAGGTATGACTATAGTAAGGAACCATATAGGTAGGAAAAGGAACTTACATAGTGTCCAATACCGAGTAAGAATATAAACATGAATAATCCATAAAGAATATATTAGGGAGAAACAGGGTCAAGAAACTCTTAGATTTTTATGGGGAGGGAGGAGAAGAGAGGATGGAAAGGAAATGTCAGCCTCCAATGTACTGGAGAGAAGCAGCAAACTGGAGTTTGCAAAGGATCATAAAAAAGCCAGATGGTCTCAGAGGTTGTTCTGCTAGCATATTGATGTCCTGCCCTGAATTTCAGTCTGGTAATTACATTTGGCCCATTCAAATCCCTTCTGTAGTTGTATTTTGCTGTGGGGTTTTTTGTCTCCTTTCTTGAAGTGTTGCATAGCCTCACTGTGTGAAGCTGTGGCTGCTGCTTTTCCGTGATCCTCTGCAGGGTGCATGACTTGATTTATGGTTTTAGTCAGAGTGTCAAGATATTAAGGACTTAGACTTCTGTTTGGATGGTTGTACAAAGCAAATGTCAAATATTGTCTTGTCCTCAAACCTCTGTGGCACTTAAATGCTCACAAAGCAAATCAAAACCAAAACTACATGAGGATGAAAGTTACTGGTATTGAAGAGGAAGGGACTAAAACACAGGTATTTAATTCTATTATTTTGTACTACATAAGAAGAACCTGGATAAATAAAGAAAACCAGAATGCTTTATGCTGATTTAAATGCAGTAGGTGTAAACAAGTCTTGTTTTTCTAATTCTTTGATATCACAAGATGATAATATCAGAGACATATACTGTGGATTAACGCCTCTGTCACCAAATGCACTTACCTTGCATTTAAAGGGTTTGACATCAGAGTGAACAATCATGTGGGCCTTGAGAGTCTGCTTTTGCACAAAGCTCTTGAAGCACAAATGACATTGGTAGGCTCTGATATTGGTGTGGATCAGTACATGTCGCTTCATGTTGGCCAGCAGAGTAAATTCCCGGCCACAAATTCCACATTTGTGCTCTTTTACACCCTGCAAGAAAAGAAAAATTCAGTAGATGGAAAGTTTTTTAGATCATTTAATCATCAGTACAGCGATTTATGAATTATTCATTCCATATTAGAAAAGTAGATAATAAATTATTTCACTTTTAACATTTGTTCAAGAGGTATCAATGTAATTTTTCCTGAGAAATTCTTACAAGGTTCTGAGAAGCAGAGAAGTAAACCAAAATATAAGCTTAATGAAATAATGAAGTTGGTTTACAAATCAATGAGACAGTCAGTGTCAGTGCTTCTGTGTCTTACTCTACTGCTTAAGTAAAGTATTGGTCAAATATGTACATTTATTGACCAAGAATAAAAGCTAAGCAGTTATAAGACTAAAGCAGTAGTTGCCTTTGATAATTGAGCATCATTTGATTATGAAAAAGTAATAACCCTGTTCTGCAGAAAGCTATAGAAAATAGTCTGAAGTAACTGAGAAGTAGTCAAGCAATGGTACCAAATAAGATTAAATATTTTACATTCATAGAAGAGGAAAAAACATATATATTCTTAGTGGGATTTTCAGTAACACTAGTGAATGATCACCTTTTATATGAGGTTTATAGGGCATTTTTATTATGCTTTATGCCATATACTCAATACAAAATGCATAAATCAGTCTTTTTACACCTGTGTGGTTGGTCTAAATGTCAGCTTCTCAAAAAGTGATTCAGATATTATGAAAATCAAAGAATTTGCCACCAAAAATCTCAATAGTTTGAGTATGACTTGCTGAAGGTGTAGGGATTTACTAGTGAGGTGCTGAGAGCAATTACTCCTCCTGCAGGCTCTCTTCACAAAGACATGAAACGACTGTCTGATTTTCACAGTTAATTTAAAAGCTAAAACTGTGAACATCAGCAGCAGCTTTGAGTGTCTGCTTATCTGATGTGAGGCTTGGTTTGGTGAGCTAAGTACTGTAAACTGTGTTCACAGCAGAATCCACCTGCAGCTATGGACAAAGAAGCAGATGCTCTGTAAAGGCACAGGGACATTTCATTTCCTGTGACTAAAGTCTTCAATTAGTGGGATTTTGCATGGTAAATCCAAAGACCAGGGAATCTTCAAGAAACGCAAAAACTATAGTCATTAAGCAGGAAAGAAAAAGCAAATATGAAGTAGAGGTTGTTGGTTTTTAAAAGAAAATATGTCTATAAAACTAAAATGCTGTAGCTTTCTGTATTTTTAATGTTTTTCATATAAAAGCCAAAATTCAAGATTTAAAGGAAAAATATGCAAATCTGAAAGCAATTTTTTTTTAAATGAGGGGATTTATCTTGTCTTAACAATATTTTTGTAAAGGTGGACAGTCAATTTCCGAGCTTCTTGAATAGAACAATTACACTTTCCCTGTTTCTGAAAGCAATCTTTCTGGAAGTGCTCCAAAGTTTGCTTCTACCCTAAACTGACTCTGTTGTCACTATTGTCAGCAGTGGCAAGACTGCTACTTGATATAAATTGGCTGTGATTATGGTCCTTCTTGCCCATTTCTATTAACTGGCATTCTGGATAACTTATGCATGAAGGGGAATTTTTCCTAGGATTTTTTGTTTTTAAATTGTCTCATTTTAATTGTTCTTCAAAATATGATGAGTAATAGTATACTTTCTTTTGCTGCAGTCTACTGCAAACCCACCTAGTTCCTAATTAGGAGAACAGCAGAACTGGATTTCAGAAAAAAAAATTCTTTTAAAATTTTCAGGGCGGGGGGGGTGGTGTTTATTATACAGCTCTGCAAAATTATGTTATGTTACAGAAGGTCATTCCGAAGACAGAAACCGGAGAGATGTGAATACAGTTTTGGAAAGTAATACGGATAGTTTAATTGAACTCCTGTTTATAATGAAGTCAGTTTGTGTGTACTTTCTTAAGTCTGACAGAGACACCTGGATTATAGTACCACCAGCAGTGCTGGGGGTTCGGCTCTGTGTAAGTATGGCAAAAGCTGGCAAAAGGCCACATGAGGCTGTATAGTCTCTTCTCTTTCCAAGGAGGTAGATACCTTAGTAGCCTGTAACCCTCCTGCTTCCTTCAGATGCAAGATCAGAGTGCAACCCATGCTTACCTTGTGAGTGAGGGAGTGTTGTTTCAGGTGGTGGGGCTGCACAAACTCCATGCCACATTCAGTGCAGATGTATGGGCGGATGTCTTTGTGCTTCATCATGTGGTTTTGCAGCTGACTTGGGTACTGGAAGGTCTTATCACATTCAGTGCAATTGTACTGTATAGGACCACGATGGGTGGTTAGGTGTCTCTTCAGCTGGGCCAGAGTTGGAAAGTCCAGACCACACTCCACACAAATGTTCTCTCGGCCACTCTCATGCTTAGACTCATGTGCTTTCAGCTCACTAGGGTAGGCAAAACCTCTGCCACAGATCCTGCAGTTGTAAGGCTTGATGTCACTGTGTTGCATCATGTGTCTCTTAAGGTGACTGGTTTGAGTGAAAGCCTTGTGGCACACCTGGCACTTATGTGGCCGAGTGCCCTGGTGTGTCAACATATGTGTGTGCAAGTGGCTCAGCTGCTTGAAAAGCTTGCCACATCGGGTGCAAGCATGTGGCTTAATGCCACTGTGCCCCAAGATGTGGGTGACCAGATTGTATTTGGATGTATAGGACTTCTCACACATGGGACATTGCCAGCGTTTCTGTTCACCCCCCACATCAACATAGTAACTGTCATCTATCTGAAGGTTGACATCTACTCTTTCAACTTTCTGTTTGTTTTCACCGCTTTCTCTTACTTCAGCCCTCCTGAAGGGTGGTTCTGGAGGTCTTTTCATTTGAAAGGGGTTCCTGAAATGAAAGTTTGGTGGTACAATGAAAGGAAACATTAAACCAGGGTGGACTTTAGGATAATAAGGGTAAGGAGCCTGCATGAACGCTGGGCTACTGGGCCATGCCATGTTGGGCTTCACTGGTTCTTGCTTAATGGGCTTGGCTCCAAAATGCTCCAGAGTTCTGTAGAATTGAAAACCAAAGTTGCAGAGGTCAATCATCTGGGAGCTGTACTTGGGCTGTGCTGGCTGTTGGAACACCAAGGGGAGACTGGAAGAGCCTATGTCATTGTGATCGTCAGGTCTGTCTGGTGGTGGTGAGGAATCCTCAAGGGTGATGGAAGGTGGCATTTTTGTTGGCATGCTCTTGCGTTTCCGAGACCCTCCTTCCAAGGACCCCTGGAAAGATTCCATGTTTTCAAGAGGTGGAGGACCATAGCGGAAATGCGAAAGGTGTGTTCTGAATTCTTCATCAAATGGAGTTGTTCTGTGTGGCTTTGTAACAGGGCTGAGTGGCTGTAGGCAGCGGGAGAAGGGAGAGGCTTGGGTATTGTCCACATTAAAATCCGTTTCTTCGTTCTTCATCATACTTGATTTTTTTCTGTGTGGCCCAAATTCCTTAAAATAAGCAAAAAACCAAAATCTCTTTATTTCTTCCAGTTCTTTTGGATTTAACATTGTATTGACTGTTTTATTGTTTTGAAGATTGTTGGCTTTTTTTAATTAAATACAACCAGGAATGTCTTAGACCTATACAAGACAAAGGTATTTTGAAGAAGAATTATGTTTCTTAGTGAAGAACGAAAAGGCTTTGGTCTTCCTGAAGGAGATTTGGTTGTTTAAATCAAGTTTGACTCATACAGCATCCTTACGACATAAGTATTCTGTACTGTGACAGCTACTCTGCAGCTGCATCTGTATGGCAGTGTTTCTGCTTAATTTAATTTGGACAGGCTGTTTGTGGGCAAAATTCTGTCCTTGGCTGTGCTTGCACAGTCTCTAGAAATTGGCGGTGCATCTAAAGGATATGGCAATACAAACAGTAATGTGGACATTTATTATGGTTGTGACATGAAAAGCCAAAGCCAAAAAGTATTAAACTTCTTTGTATCATTAACATGTGCTACTGTGAGAGAAAACAATGGCCAAGTGATCTAAGGACACTGTGTACCATCAGATTTTGCGCCGTGTTTCCTGACTTCTCTCACTTTGTATTGTAATAAGAAGGCGGAGATTAATTTATTTTCTTTGTTTTAATCCCAGAGATATTTACCTGGCAGATTTGGGGGAGGAAAGACATTTGACAACTCTCCAAATTACATTCAGTTTAATAGGGTTATTTTTGTTTCTAAACAGGTGGGCAAAATCTCCACTATAAAACCAAATATAGAATTAATATCAACAAACCCCTGGGATTCCACAGTAATTGACAACTAAGAATGCTCTGAGCTTTTCTAGTGATACAATGTGATGAGGCAGACTAATAATTTTCTTCTGGCAAAATTTTATATCCCACTGATTATACAGATGTCTTTTTCTGGATTTAGGGTTCATCTAAAACATTGGTTATAAATTTTGGTTCATCTTAAATAAGGCTGCTACCTTTTCCCTTGTCTTTCTAGAATCATAGAATCCTGGAATCCTTTATGTTAGAAAAGACCTTTAAAATCGTCAGGTCCAACCATTAAGTCAGCACTGCCAAGTCAACCACTAAAACATGTCCCTAAGTACCAATGTCTACATCTTTTAAATACCTCCAGGGTTGGTGACTCAACCACTTCCTTGGGCAGCCTGGTCTGGTTCTTGACCGCTTTTTACATGACGAGGTTTTTTTCCTAACATCCAATCTAAACCTCTCCTGGACCAACTTGAGGCCATTTTCTCTCATCCTAAGGCTTGTTACTTGGGAGAAGAGGCCAAGCCACATCTCACTCACTCATTTCAGGTAGTTGCTCTGTATGTGTTGTGTGATGGCACTCAGGATGATCTGCTCCATAACTCTCCCTCCAGCCTTTCCTGTAGATGAAAGTCATATTCTCTGACCTCCAGTCAACTGGGACCTCCCCAAATAGACAGAAGTGCTAGCAAATGATGAAAAATGGCTCGGTGACCATTTTCACCAGGTTCTTCGGGACCATGAGTAGATCCCATCCAGTCCCATAGACTTGTACAGGTCTAAGTGAGAACAACTGGTCTAACTATTAAAGACTGAAGCAAAGAAGGCACAAAATACCTCAGCTTTTTCTTCATCCTTTGTTGCTATGTTTCACTCCACATCCAATAAAGAATGAAGACTTTGTTCAGCCCACTTTTTGGTGTGAATGTATTTACAGAAACATTTTTAATTGTCTTTTGTGGCAGTAGCCAAATTAAATTCTAGCTGACCTTTGGCCCTTCCAATTTTCTCCCTGCATAACCTCATGACATCCTTGTAGCCCTCCTGAGGGATACACTTATATGAATGTGTGTGTGTTTGTGTACATGTATCTAGCCAACCATGCAGAGATTAGGCTGGAAAACTAGACATATTTTCCCTCTATCATCTGTGACATGTTGATGCTATTTATAACATCATTCTTGGAAATGCTGGGTGGAGAGTACGAAGGTGAATGGAGTACTATATACACTCCTATTTCTTTTTCAGGAAGCTCCATGCTTGATAAACCTTCTTCTAAAGATAGATAAAAGCAGATCTCGGTAACCTAGTTAGGCCATGGGGAAGAGAAGGCATCTTAAAAAACTTCTTGCAAACACATTGTTTTTTTAGAAGGAATAGACTGTGGAATTATCTTTGAGATAAAGTGTGAAGCTAGAGGCTCAATGACAAAACTCTAAGACAGAAAATTTAGACAAAAGGATCAAACAATACATGAAGAGGGGGTATTAATTGAAGCAAAAATTGAAGGATCTCTAAACTTACGATTCAAAAAATACATCCAATAGAGGAAAAAGATTAAAAAATTGTTACATCTTGGACAAGTATCTAATAATTGTACCACAACTTAACTTTTAGTTTCTAGCTCACTGACTGGAAATATCATACATATATGTACACAATATAGAATCATAGAATCATAAAATATCCTATTTGGAAGGGCCTCACAAGAATCGAGTCCAACTCCTGGCCCTGCACCCCAAGAATCACATGATATGCCTGAAAGTATTGTTCAAACACTTCTTGAACAGACTTAGTGCTGTGACCACTTCCCCGGAGAGCCTGTTCCAGTGCCCAAGCACCCTATAGGTGAAGAACCTTTTTCTAATAAACAGCCTAAACCTCCCCTGACAAAACTTCATGCCAATCCCTCAAGTCCTGTTACTGGTCACCACAGAGAAGAGATCAGTGATTGCCCCTCTTCTTCCCCTCACTAGGAAGCTGTAGACTGCAATAAGGTCTCCCTTCAGTTTTCTCATCTTCAGGGTGAACTAATAAAATGACCTCAGCCACTCTTCATCTGGCTTCCCCCAAGGCCTGTCACCATCTTTGTAGACCTCTTTTGGGCACTCTTTAATAGCTTTATATCCTTCTTGTATTGTGGCACCCAAAGCTGCACACCTATTTTTGTGTGTATGCATACATAGCATGTATGTTCAATCAGAGAGGACTTTGATCAACTGTTCATTCTGCTGTTTCCTTGTCACCCTAACTCCCTGATCAAAATAAGGAACAGTTAGACCTTGAAAATTTTTGGAGAAAGGCAAGGGAATCCCCTGAATACTGAAAAATTCTTCACTTCTTTCCACAAGAAAAAAATACTTTAAAAATAATTTTTAACAAAGTTAAACTCACACAATTTGAACATAAAATATGCTTGTAGATCAAAATCTTTCCTTCTGGGGTCTGTCCCTCAAATATCTTTCAACTTGTGTATCTTATTTTTTCCCAACGATATGGGTATAAAATTCTTCAAAAGGCATGTAGCAATTGAGAAACAGCTATGTTATTTACTGCTTTTGTTGGATTATTGAAATGCTGCCAAAAATATACAGAGATGACAGTGAGTTGTGTCTAATTGCTCTCTTGTCTCTTGTCTGCCCATTACTACCTTCTTCCACAGCCAGTTTTGTGCAGTTTCATTCTTTCTTGAACACGCAGTTACGGCAGAGGCTGCAGAACTCCTTGAAATTACTAGAAAGAAATAATTTCCTTGTGCTACTAACCTTTCAGTGCTTTCACTGAGCATAGGGGTTGATTTCACTGTCCACAGCTACATGCATCACAGGACTAAGCCTACAAAGAAAAGTGTTTAAATAGTAAGTGACCAGAACAATCAGAGGTGCTATATAATCCAACACAAGAGCACTCAGAAGGAAAGGGGAAGTCTATATGTATGGATTGCCCTACTGCTTTATTTTCCCCCTTGAATCTACCAACACCTATAATGTATAAATTAATTCTTTCTTCTTTCATTCTGGCAGCAAAACCTTGCTAATTTGAAGGGAGCTGTGATCTTAACCTTGTCCAGAACTGAATTCCGTAAAAACGTGAGTCCTGATGAAACCATAGAAGAGATGACAGATGTGACTACCATGCAAGAAGTAGTTAAGGAACAGAAAGACTAAGATTAGCTCAGTTGGTTAGAGCATAGTGCTAATAACAGCAAGGTTGTGAGTTTGATCTCTGTATGGGCCATTCACTTCAGACTCGATGTTCCTTGTGTGTCTCTTTCAATTTAGAATATTCTGTGAAATAAGAGGAGAGTCCCTCTTCTTTAAATAATTTCAGTAGAGAACTTCAAAATTTTTAATAGTTTCCCAATATGTTTTTTCTATCTAACTGTGCAGTAGCTGCTCACATTTTAATACTCAACAACAAATTAGGAGGGAGGGGGTGAATTTATTTTTTTATTATTATTATTTTATATTTATTATTATTTAAATATTTTTATATTTGAATATCACTTACGGGTCTTCTATAAAGCGCTTGTTTCTTATACAAGCACTTTAAAGTGTCCTTCTTTCTACAGAACGTCATATTTAAAATATAGTGCTATGTAGTGTGATTCTAAACATTGGATGGTCCTTAAAAATTCTAGCTTTCATCAATAATATTTCAGCTCCTAGGTTTTGAAAATTTGGTCTGGAAAACTCACTGAGACAGAGTTTTCCATGCTGTATTGTCACTGAAATATAACACTCCCTCCAAAAAACCTAGCCCTCCAGAGCTTACTAAAAAGTCAATTTCTTTAGAAGAGACAGGTATTCTCACAGTTTCTTTCTTTATGTAAAAAATATATATTTGGAAATACACTAGTTTGAAAAATAGAACCAAAAATTATCTCTTCCTGTCCTTTCAAAACAACAAAAGAAATGTGACAGTGAGTTCAGGTAGTTGTTGAGGTATTTCCAAAATAAAATATCTATGCAGTAGCTAATAATGTTGTTAACTTCCATGAAGGAGGAAGAGAGTTTAATACAGAATATGAATCAGCATTTACTTTCTCACGTTCGCTCACTTCTACAGACAAAGGATTTAAAAAATATGCAAATGCTGCTATTCGCTCTACAAGGATTGTTACAGTGTCCAGCTAATATTCGGTAGTGGAGACAGCAGCAAATTTTCTTTAGACTTCAGTAGAACCAAGATTCTTCCTCCTGTATGAAAATGCCTTCTATCTGTAGATTAATAATGTGTCCAGCTACAACAATGTGAGGTTGTGAAGTTTCTCAAAGTTAAACACTGCCTATTACTGCTGTGATCTTGCTCTTGGGCAGCACAGTTATAAAACCAGGAATGAGGCCAAGGTGAGCAAAAGTGGTATGTACCCTCTGACAAAGGAAATGGTTTACTTTGTCTCAACGTTTGCACTTATATTTGTTCTTTCAGAAGAAGGCGAAACACATGAAAATGGAGGAAGTCTAAAGGTGGCTTAATAGGCTAAAAAGCTTCTCTTAACTGGAAGAGAAGTTCCATGTTTAATTGAATGTGTAGGACTGCAGAACCATGACCTGTAACAGTGCATGTTTGCTCTCCTCTTGAGAACTGAAATATTGGCATCTATAAGGAAAAAAATGAAAAAATGTGTTGGATGTGGGAAGTATGAGCGACGAATTTAACACTATTACATTTCTTGAGCTAAAGTTGAGCAGTTGTTGAGCTTCAGCCTTATTGAACTACCATCTGGGTTTTTCTCAATCACTGTTTTTTGTCAATTGTTATTACAGTGATCATTATCATTATCTTAATAGGTTTAATGGGCTCTCAGTCTGTACTTCCAAATACATTATCTTTTTAAATGTATTCAATCATACAACTGTTGAACTAAGCACCAAATTACTTACACAGTTTTCTCTCATTTACTATTGATGCAAAATTTGCATCTGTCTCAGGATCTGACAAAGAAACTTTACTATGATGAATTCATTTCACTTCAACAGTGAGAAGGTGCTCTCTGCTCAATGACACACTGCTTTGAGCTATTTGTCAGACTTTGAAAATACCAAAAATACCTATATAAATGTGAATATATCCATTACTGGTAATCAAGTATTTTCATTTACTACACATCTGATCCCTCCTTACAATTTTCCTTGCTATTTTCCTTCAGTGGCAGTATGAACCCTTCCAGACAGAAGGTAAAAGATTGTGTTCAAACCCATAACAGAACTTCTCTAAAATCAGTGTCAACCCTACTGTCCTATTCTTTAGAGAAGTTTGTGCAAGCTGTATTTTCTATCCATGTTCTCCATGCGTAAATATCCATGTTTCAAGCACACAGTTTTGAAAAATTGTCTCTATTAACATATACTGAGTGTATGTTAATATGTTCTATCTGAGTATATAAACTGTGTGCATGTTATATGTAAACTAAATATATGTTAACATACACAAATCAGCCTTGAAGATTTTATGCTACGGTATTTGAAGCTAACCTAAAATATTATTTACATTTTAAATTAAGAGAGTACTTTTTTTGCCTCAATCTGGAGATGGGAGAAGACAAAACTTTGGACTACCTTGTAAAATTAAATATGGTTTTAGGGAAAGTATTCAGAATCAATAACTGCGGATACTGATTATAGAGAGACACAAATGTTGTGGAAGCCTTTAGAAAAACACACTTGAGCTGGAAATAACCGTCATTGAGTTTAGTCAAATCTTTTTCTATACCACTTCTACAAACACTTGTTTTCTCACTTTCACATGCATGTAGACCTGGTGTCAAATGAAGTCCATGATTTAACCACTACCATAATTGTCTACTGACATAAGGCTTCTTGCCCCATGTTTTTGAGAGACAAATGTCCGCTTAAATGGAGAACACTATCAAGATAAAAGTATTGTCACATATATCCCTCTTCCCTTTTTGGATTACCATCATTAATAGACTTAGAATTGAAAACAAGTAAACAATTGTTCACAAAAATGACTTGGAATGACTGAAAATGAGAAGTGGACTAGATCAGGTTTTTTCTTCCTACATTAGTATGATAGTACCAAGGAGCTCGCTGTCTTTTCACTTCTCCCTGGGAAATTACCTTCATCTGCTGGTATCAGACTTCAAGTTAAAACTTCTTCTTTCCACCATGAAATGTGGGGGTTTTTTTCTCAGTAAATGCTTGGTAAAGTGATCATCTTTATAATTCTTCTTAGGGCATAATCAGAGCTCATTAAGGTTTGTAGGAAGACTTCCAATGAAGTCTGAAAGTAATTCTTAGAATTTTTTTTGTTATGGGTTCTGTTGTCCAATGAGATATGAACCCATCTATGGCACAACCAAACGAAAAAAATATTTATATTCTCAGAAGTTAGCAGATGGTAACATTTGCAGACAAGCTTAATGTAAATCAAACAATCACACAACAAAGAAATTTAATTGATTAAAAAAATCTGACAGCTTAACGTGACACAGCAAACAGATGAAACAAGCAACAAACTTTCAAAGACACCTTATTTATTAAATAATTTTTTTCCTTCATTTACTATTTTGGCACCTTTCTTGCTTCATGGTTGAAGTTCTAACACTTTAGATATTCCTTTTGCTCCTAGGGCTTCCTATCCAGTGTAGCTGCATTAATATAGTCTGCAAGATGACATCAATACAAAGAAATACAGAAAACTGTGTAATGGAAATAGCCTCCCTGCATTGTCTTTGTTATTCCCAAATGTCAACTTGCACAATTTTTTTTTATTTTAGCTGGGAAATAGAGAAGTTTAGTAAGCACACTCATTTGGCTGCACTGCCTATAGAGTGGATTTTGAAGTCATCTTGGATATGCATGTAACTTGGTTTTGTACTTATTTCAGAGAAAAAAACACTACAAGCACTATCACAGGAGTATAGTTATCTTGGTATTCATTGTAATAGAGCAAATGCTCTAAAATAGTATCAAAATGAACACACATTCACTTTCCCATAACTTACAGATTATTTTTGTTCTGGTAATTATTGAAAGCACTAAATTAGATTTTGATTAGACTAAATTAGATTAGATTAGACTTTGCTGAAAGTCTGGAGCTGTCCCACTACCCACGCTGTCAGAGATGGGGCACTGTTTGTGGTATCAGATATGTTTATAGAGTAGTTTATGGTATAATTTGCTTTTCAATCATTCATTAATTAGATTTAAAAACAAAAAGATTGCCAGATGCTATAGGGAGGGAGCTGCAGATGTGTTTCTTCTCTCCACTATGAGTGCCATGTTGTCAGTTTAGCAAAATGGTTTGCTCTCTCTCTCCCTGCTTTTATGTGCACTCTGTCCTGACCTTAGGGAAACCTTTGCTGTTACTCTCACTACTCTTCTGTGGTCTATCAGGACAGAGGATGAAGGTCTCAGAGCAGAATGGCTGGGCTAACCACTGGGGGCCTTACTTTAGACCTAACTCTAGGGCCTTACTGGCAATGCCTTTAGCAGTACTTTAGCCTCTCTAGTCATTTCTGGGTATGTACAAAGTGGGTTTCCAGTACAGTTTAGGCTCACTGCTGTTTTGGTTCTTTATTTCTCTTCTTCTTATCCTCCTTTCTCTTTTATTTTTTTTTCTTTTTTTTTCTTCCTCTTTATGAGTTTTCTTAGTTCTTCTCTTATATGTCCTTACCTCTTCACTTCTGTATTTCATTTGTTGTTCACTCTATTCTGTTTGCTAAAAGGGTCAGCAACACGTAGACAACCTGCATAACGACGTGGATGTTAAGTCCACAGGCTCTGAAGTGCTAGCTGTTTATACACAGCCACAACAAACCACAGCTACACATGACAGGAGCCTACAAGGCAGAGCAAATCATCCGATCTAAAAGTATGTCAGGGGACAAAGATTATTTGTCCTCAGCTAAGCACCTCCATCTTCTTGATTTGCTGGTACCATCATGGAATTCAAGGCTGCTTCAGAGTGGGAAGGAAGCGGGAGGGGGAATAGCTGCTCACCAGCAGATCTCTTCCTCTGGGTTCACAGTACAGCACAGTACATCTCTGCTCACAGCAGGATGGGCTCTGGCCCAAACTCTTGTCTTTCTCTGTTCCTCCACAGAAACCTACTAAGTGTATCCTGAAACAGAGCAGCTGGTAAGGCACAGGAAGATGTAAAACCATACATATCAGCTCAGGCTAGCAGTGTAGCTAACTCAAAATCTTGGTCTTGTGAAGAATACAAGGCATAGGACATAGTGTCATGTCAACTTTCCATCATGGTCTTCAGGAAGGTTCTCAGATCTGTGGCTCAGTGCTTTCCTGAACTAAAGATGTTGCATTCCGACTTTTTCTTATTCAATGAAGCATGGATGTGGATAAAAGTTATTTAGGATAGAAACACAAAGAACTGTTTCTTGTGAGCTGAGGGACATACAGAGTTAGGTACCGTGTTCTGGGGATGTGACATACCTCTCAGTGGTTTGACGGAAAGTCTTGTGCCTCCAAGACTTAGAGAGGAGCCCAGGCACTGACAGCTGCACTGTGCAGGAGATGATATGCCCACATACACTCTTCTCAATCTACCTTTCCCTGAAGTACTTCTATTTTTTTATCTTAAAGTCCACTGAAGCCCAAACATACTGTAGATTATTTTGCTTATGCCTCGCTTTCCATCTCCCTACCAGCTCTCTGAACAGCAGACCCTCTCCTGCTTCCATTTGCCCCATCTTTAGAAACCATTACTTTGTCACTGTAAAGATGGATCATTTTTGCTGGTAACGGTTCAGCTGCAGAGTCTCTATTAGTTAGGGTTCTTAAATGTATAATTCCTCTCCTTTTCCTTTGTTTCCCCCCCACCGTCACAAAAACAGGAAAGCAAAATATATTCATATTCCGAATAGAAATTTGGAGGACATGCAAGGGTGAACTACCGCCTCAAGAAGGCTGACAGGTGTGTGGCACTGGGCTGCATTTGAAGGTGCTCTTATGTTCATGTCAAGAAGAAATTGTATTAGACTAATTACTCCAGACTAATTACACCTGTTTTGAAAATAAAACAGAAAAGAAAGGTTGAGTGCCAAGAGCTGTTCTCCAGGAAATGAGTGCAGGTCTGAGTTTAGAATGAGGATGTACCTAAAGAAATTTCACTCACCCATACTGGATCCTCACTCCCTTCTTCTGGAGTTTTAGCACTGCAGAGAAGGGGTTACAAGGCAGAATGAACTAGAAGAAGCCTGACACCATAGCCAAGCTATAAATGCAATCACTCAGGATGGTAAAGTGCCTTAAACTTTCAATAAACCTAAAGAAGTGACACCTGGGAGCAGAACAGACCTATCTCTAAAGGCATGGAGGTCGCAGCACTCAAAAACACGTTTGACCTCTCTCTGCTCCCCGCCCCTTGGCACTTGCACTTTTATCTGTCTAAAGGTCCAGCTCCCACCAAAGACAACCAGGGTCACTCTCACAGGCTTTAGATAGGACACTCCCTTAAGAGAATAGAGATGTGTGACCAAACTCATCAGGAAGGAGGAGGGAAATGAATCAAAGTCTCCCATCTTTTACCTGTTATATTTTACCCTGAATTTGATGTCATCAGTGTATATTGAGTTACATATAAATATTCTTACAGGACTGGCTCCCCAAGAGCATTTGGGCAATGATGTACTGAGTTTTCAGATCATGACCAAAGTTCGGGGCTGACAAGATCAAACTGGCCATGATGGTGACATTTGAAGCACATGTAGTAGCAGAGTTCTAAACGCACAGTTTAACTGGTGCCAGCAGACAGGGTGGAAACATAATTTGATCCTGCTCTGACTAGGAATTGGAATTAATGGTGGATTGGCCAGCTCAGTTGACTATTCAATTAAACAATTCATCGTAAGCAACTGACTTAATTCTCTCTCTGGTGTGATCTGTGTTGTACTGAAATAATTATGGAAAATCTGTGGTATAGTTGAGAACAAGATTTGGTATTTGACAGTTATAAGGTGATAACAATTAGACAAATTTCTTCCTTTTCTTAAATGAATAAGGAATTTTCATGTCATAGGTTGGAACCATGGATGTGTCCCTTCCTTTATAAAGTATGTGGAGTCACTTTAATCACTGTTTATAGACGTTCTATCATTCCATCCCTATTTCCTGTCTATCACATATTTGCCACTGCAAATTAAAACAGTACGTTTCTGGCACCACAGGATTCCTAGGTATTAAATAGTTTTTCCTCTGGAAAATTATCAAATAACATTAATGAAACTTTTCTCACCGCATAGGTATTATAAATATTAGGAATGATCTGGTAGTAAAACAGTGATTTTTAATACGGTGTGGAGTCCTTTAAGGACGCATAGTCATTAAACACTATAAAGAGAGCAGAGAGGTTTTGAGCTGTACAGTGTGTTATTTTAAGAAAAATAACAGAGTTATGCAGAACATCCAAAATTAGAATGATCAAAAAGGCATGCCCTTCCATAACCCTCATGCTGTCCTGCTTGTGCTGTTATTTTGAAAGTAAACCTTTCACTGGCATTCATGACCTTTAAAAAGGAAATGCATTGGGCTTTTCTTCCTCCTGTAGTCCCAGTGTCCTTATCATATATGGAAGCCAGAGAGATGGTCTGTTCTCCTCCTATCTCTTTGTTATCTTAAAGGGTAGCTAAGGGCCACCTTCAGCTTGGTTCTTCAATCCAGTCAGCTGCATTGCATTAGCATTTAATTGCATGTACTTCAAAATTGCTTGTTCTGGGCACTGCAGGTACCTCAAAAAATAACATACCATGTAAAATGTGCACACATGATTGAGGAGGATGGTATGGGAGAGATTTCATAGAAAGTTTCCAAAACACATTAGTTTTTAGTGAAAGTCTAGTTTTTCTTAAACACAGAGGAGTATTGTTAGTCCCCAGCACAGAATGGTATTCTTGACTGATGATATGAAACATCTGCAAGGAAGTAATTTAAGATACCTTCCTCTCTGTCTTTGCTCTTTACCTGTGATGCGAAACTAGAATCTTCTCCTTGACTGAACAGTAAAAAAAAAAAAACCAAAACACTTTCCCTCTCCGATCCCCAAAATGAATCCTGCATATTACCTTTAATTATTTTTTGATTTCCAGAAAGTTTTAAAAATAAGCATTAGTTTGTTGCCACAACTACAGAAAATCTGAAATTTAAAGCAAATGTTTATCTTGCTTCTATGATTTTCATCTACTGGAAAACAAATTTCTATGGTAAATACAGGAAAAAATTCTTGAGATTAATTATTTTAAGCTGAAACAGATATAAAATGCCAATTTTACTGAATTCAATAAACTAGGATATGGCATGGGAATGACAGCTCAAACTTGGCCAAGTGTCATCAGCAGATACTGAAACAGAGACTAGAGTTACAAACAAACAAGAAATTATTTTTTGCCAAAGGAGAAAAAAAAAAAGAAAGAGTGAGAAGAAACTCAATATAGTATGAAATCTGAGATTCTGAACATTTCCCAAACCAGTCTCGTACTAATCCTTCGTGGTGGGTGATTACAAAGACTTGAACTGGATATTAACTCAGTTCAGATTTTCATCACAAGAAAAAGGAAACCAAGAAACCCCATCAAACCACTGCGACTCTACACCACGACGACATGAGTAAGAATGGCCAGCCAGCAATATAAAATAAAGTTTTGTAAAAAAACACCTTATACATTAATATAACTCTATCAATCCCTGCCCACATCCCCATGACCTCACCCCCGGTCATTCTACCCAGGAATTTTTCCTGGGGAAAAAAAGCAAGTATTATATATAAAACCCAGGAAAACTTGATAGAAATTATTGCTGTGTTTTGGGAGGGAGCAGGTAAGGCTGTGGTCTGGGCAGGGTGACATTACCCACTGAATTCTGTTACAACTTACTCTCCTAATCATATTCAGTGCCTTCCACTGGATGCCTATTCATGTATTTTTAAGTAGTAAACAAATTAGTGAAAATCTCCACTTCAAGTCATTAGAGTAAATCCTGAGTCCCAATCATATGCCTACAGAATCCAGTGCTATCTGTCATATCTAGTGATACTCTTTACCTATGGCTGAAGTTCAGGTGGGGTTTGCTTTCCGTGGGACATGAAAAAATCAACTAATGTATTTGGAATCTAAGGTCATTAATTAGTATTTCCATTTTTCTGGCAGAGGAAAGAAGAGTTGGTCAGCACCATTCCTCTGATGTATGTGACAACTTCTGTAGCATCCTGACAAAATGCTGCCCACAGACATACAAAATTATTCTGGAAATCTTGGTGACTTCATATTGTGAGTTCAGCACTATACAGGAAAACTGTTTGATATAACATTCATGCTAGCACCACCATGCTGTGGTGCTGTGGAAAAAATATTTTCCTGCACATTTATAAATGAATGGGTTTAATTTCTGGTGAACTTAAGAGCATGTTTTTGTCATCTTGCTCTTCTAGGAGGTTCACTACAATTTTCTTGAATTCCTATCAAAGGACCATAGTTTTGGACAAATACAGGATGATCTTCATAACTTCAGAAATCTGCACTAAGGAACTGACCCAGCGTGGGCTGGTGTCTACCAGATGGTTCAAACAATTTCTGGTGTTCCTTAGAAGCTGACAGATGCTCTAAAGACAGGTCATCCCTTCCTTTTCCCCCTCCTGATATTGTTTTCATTACATATATACTCTAAATAATTTTAAGAAAAAGAAGACAGGTAGAAAAATAATATGCTAACTGAAAGTACTGTATGACATACAGCC